TTAAATTAGATTAAATTAAGCTAATTAAAGAGTTGGACTTAATTACCGAACTGCCACCCTTAGTGGCCCACTCAATACACACACTTGAGCCTTATGTACACACTTGTAGAACATTTCATCAGCCATTTCTTCTTGTTCTAGCCGACCTTAGAGAGAGAGAGACTTGAGGAGTTGAGTTCTACCTTGTGGATTGCTTGGAAATTGAAGAGATTGCATGGTTGAGCTCCCTTCTTGAACTACAAGACTTAAGGTAGCTCCATTGTCTTCTTGTTCATGTTTTGAGTTGATTGTTGCATGGTCCATGTTAGATTGTAGAGCTAAGTCATGAATTGGGTCATTAATGGTGAATTGAAGCTCAATCTTTGCATGCATGTTAGTATTAATGAGTTTTGAGGTTGTAGTCCATGTTTCATCACATGCATGTCCATCTTTTGGTCATACTCCATGAGTTCATCTTATTTTTGAAGGTTTGAGATCTTTTGAAACAACATTAAAGCTTTGAAAATGATTTGAATCCATGCATGTTTGCATGTTCATATTGTTCTTGAAAAATGGTTTGAAATTGGGTTTGAATAAAACACCCTTGGGCTTTGATTTCTCAAATTGAGTTTTGAATCATGTCATTCTATATGTTTGCAAGAGTTTTCCAGAAAATGAGCCCAAGAGGATCGGTTTTGAGTTGTTAACAACTTGAGTTTGAGCTTGGAGGTGCAATCTGGGTTTTCCAGATTTCGCACTTCCGCTCGAGCGGGGGAAGTTCCGCTCGAGCGTGGAATTCGAGCATCCAGCATCTCTCTGCACTGTTTTACAGTCCGCTCGAGCGGAGGATCGGGCGCTCGAGCGGAGTCATGTCTCAAGCTCGAGCGGGCGTCGAGCGGAGATTTCACCCATCCAGTACTTTCACAGTACGCTCGAGCGGGAAAGTTTACGCTCGAGCGTGTACCTTTGTTGCATGTCCGCTCGAGCGGGGAAACCTGCGCTCGAGCGGGACTCTGTTTTTCTGAAAATGCTTTTAAATGTACATCTTTGCATCCTCATCCCATTATAGGCATTCTTAGGCCTAGTTTAAGGCATCTTGTTGAGGATATAGATGTAGAACACACCGAGGCATTAGGGATTAAGTTATTACCGTTCCCAATTGTGTGGCTTAGTGTGTTCAATCTGTTAACTGTGTAGGGTTGGCGACTGGGGAGACACGCTCTAGCATACCGTAGCCCAAACTTTGTGAGTAACAATTGTGTAAAGATATGTTCAAAATGATTATCTTCCGAATACCGAACTGAACTGTTTACTGAACTGATACTGTTTACTGAATGAATGTATGTCCTATATTCTAAACTGTACTGTGGCATCCTTGGCATCTACTGTTACTGTTACAGAGATCTCTGTCGGTTCCTTCGTGGAACCACTACTGTTTACTGACTGATGGCCATCATTACTGTTCGGTCTTTTAAGACCTACTGTTACTGTTATGCTAATGGATGTACCACATACGACTGTTTACTGTACTGAACAATTGAAATACTGATTGAATTGAACTGTTTTCATTACTGTAAGGACATTCATTCTAAACCCCTTTACGCTTTATGTTATTCACTAGGCTTTAGCTCACTGCTCATATATAAATGTAGGTGTACAGGTACCAGACCGCGGCTAGAGGCGTCAGGGTAACTCCAGTTTTGTCAAGCCAGCCTTTGTGCCTCACTGCGAGGTTCTGAGCCTATCCGCTAAGGCTTAGGGGTGTTTTAGGAATTCCCCTTCTGTACTGTCTTACTGTTTTGTATAGACGGAATGTTTCCTGTACTGTTACGTAGGGTTGAGTCCCTAGTTTGAATAAATGTAAATTTTGTGCATACTGTTCTGTACTGTTTATGTATGAATGCATGAAAAATCTTTTTGGTATGCAGACTGTCACAGCTCATTAGGCATTGTTTATTTACTGTATTGGCTTCCGCCAAGCCCTGTACTCTGTTTTACTGTGTTACTGTTCTGCAGGCCTTTGGCAATCTCGGATTACTGGCCGGTTACGGTGCTAAACCCATAGGGCCGGGTTTGGGTCGTGACAATATGGTACTCAACGAGTTCTACATATTGAACAGTTCGGATTATTAAAACGGGACCCGTAATAGGTCCCCACGGGCTAAATAGCACCGCCCAATCCGATTAAGGATAAGAGGCAAGTTGCTCCCTTTACTTAATCCCCTCTGAAAACAAGCAGGGCCTAAATATTGACATTTTATATATGCAAAGGGCTGGTTGGTATTAACGTTTTATTGTATCAAAACTTTTAACTTGGCCACATAAATTTCAAAAAATATATATATCCATGAAATTCATTCAGCTATAAATATTGGATAACCAAAAAGAAAAATGCTTCGGACCCCACTGGGGGTCGACCCCCAGTGAGGTGGCGCGCCGTGATTGGACAAAAAAAATTGTTTTATTTTTTTTTTATTTTTTTTTTGAGTTTCAGCCAGTGGGGGCTCGTCACCTCACTGGGAGTGCGACCCCCACTGGGGGTCTGCAGCAGGTTTGAACCAAAAAATATGAAAATTTTGACACATCCACAATAAACGCAACTAATAAACCAGTATCAGAATTTTAGAGATATAACACGGACTTACAAAAAAATTATTCATCCTCTTACCAAACTTCCCTCCAAGAAAATATTTTAATAGATAATATGTACCCGAATATGTAGTGTATAAATATTCAGTAATTTAGTAAGGTACAAAACTGCTAATGCAAAGATAATTGAAACAAACTAACAAGGATATAGAAGAGCAGATCCCAAAAGATTGTCAGTTTTCAACTGACAAAACAGCACATCTAACACCTATAAATAGATTTTTTTTATTTATTTTTGGTATAGATTTTTCATACACAATGATATAGCCTTTAGCGTCATTTGATATAACACAAAGGCCCTTATAAGCAACTTATTTAAGCTTTTAGCTTATATGAAGCTATTTTAGAGTCTTTGACATAGCTTATCAAAACAACTTGTAACTTAAGTTAAGCTATTTTCAGCTTATTTTCCAAAGCAACTCTGGGGGTGCTTAACAAATTTGACTTATGCGGGCAGCTGGTAAGGGGGGGGGGGGGGCTAAAATGACTTAAATGCCCCTCCTCAAATTCGATTATTACCAAATACCTCGTATATAAACCACACTCTCACATTGTTCACTTTGAGAGAGAGAGAGAGAGTGGTGATTTCTGGCGAGAGTGGTGATTTCCGGCGTAGGTCTTAAGTTTCTAGCAAACGTCTCTTTCTCTCTCTCTCTCTCTCTCTCTCACTTTACCGACCTTTCGCCTTCGCGATCACAACTGAGGGGCAAAACCCTAATTGTCGCGATCGATTTGAAACCCTACAGTCGCCGGTCTAACGATGGGGGTTGTCGGCTAGGGTTTTGCCAAGATTTCTCTTTCTTTTCACGATTGCAAAACCCTAAACGTGGTAGATCTCTCTCTTTCTCTCTCTTTGCGATCGTCCCCCATCCCCCGTCGTGATCGATGCAGAAGTGATCTAGGTGAAGCTCATTTTCTGGTGAACCAGAGCTAGGTTTTCAGTGTTTTTTTAATAATAATAATAATAATAATAAAGCATTTTAATTCATTAATGAAATAAATTTTATATTAATTGATACTAATTAATAATTTTAATATTAATTGATACTAATTAAGTCATTAATTGATAATAAATTAAATTAAAAAATATTAATAAATTGGTATATTTTGTAACAATTTTGTAATAATAAATTTTAAAAATATAAATTGGTATTTGTAACAAATTTTAATAAATTAAAAAAATATCAATTAATATTCATGTATGTAAACCAAAATGAATATAATTTGAAAATTTTAATTGATATTTCAACATTTGTCAAAATTTTCTCATGATCAATCTCGCCATGCATGCACCACTTCTAATTTGAAAAAATAAACTATAAACTAAAGAAAATAAAATAAAATGAAGAAAAAGAAAAAAAGAAATAAGGAACAAGAAAATTAATTGTTAATACTAATCGATACTAATTAATAATTTTAGTATTAATTGAGACTAATTAAGCCATTAATTTAGAATGAAAAAAATTATTACAATAATACTTCCATTACATTTTTATCGAATGTATCAATTTTTATATTAATTGATACTAATTAATAGTAATTATATTAACTTTTATTAATAAAATATTTTTTTTAAATTAAAATTGAAAAAAATGACAAAATTATTATTTTTATATTATATAAGGGCAAAAAAGGCAATTATAACAAATCCATAATCCCACAACTACACCAAACAGTTTAACCGCTTATGTTCACAGTTATAAGTTATAATCTGTTAAGTTATAATTTATAAGCTCTACCAAACGGGGCCAAAGTAAGGTCCAGAGAGAGCCCCTCTATATCTAAGTGATTTCTAACAGTGCTCCAATGACATTTTAACGATCCATTTTACACCTCTAAAGTGTAAATATGAACATTTTATGCCCGAAATAAAAATTTTGAATTTTTTTTCCCTTTGATTTCAGCATAGATTTTTAAATTTTCAACATCCACAATGATTCTCTCATCTCTCAAACTTTCTCCCATACCATTGTGGGTGTACTTTTTCAACACAGCAATAACAGAGTTGAACAGCAACAATGGGAACGACATCAACAAGAACGACAAGCTTTCAAACAAATCTTGCTCTTCAAACAACATTTTTGAGTAGATAGGTGATTTTCCCTAAATTGTAATTGATTTTTTTGACATATTTATTTTTTAATCGTTTGTTTTTTGTTTTATTAGTTGGTTGAGTTGACCTTTGAAATCTTATTTATGTAATGTTATTTACTTAATTAATATAATATTTCTCATGTGCTAAAAAAAAAAAAAAAAAGGATAGCCTTTTATTGGCATTCGATGTGAAGGCTCGTAATTTAAAAAATGAGAACAACCAGGTCACAATTCTCCGTGTGATTAACCAAACCAACATTCATATCTAACAAACAAAATTCAGGTAATATGAAAAAAAGTTGCTTATGTGGGCATACCGGGGAATAATCAGTCAGATTTATTCATACATGCAATTCAATTTAAAGTACTGCCAAGCTTACAAGGCATAATCTTTATCTCTCTCTGAGGCTTTGTACTAATCCATCGTCAAACCTCATTTAACAAAAACTTCAAATCTCACCTACCAATAACTGATGATACCAACTTAGGCACTTTTCTTCACCTCAGCAGCCTTGATAATCTCGATGAATTCCGGCTGTGAGAGAGAAGGAGAGAGAAGGAAAGAAAAAGTGGAGGGTGTGAGGAAAATCAAACAAGTGCAGTGAATTTAATTTATATTTTTTTGAAACAAAGAAAAAATAAAGCGATAATATCAATACCTTAAGAGAAGCTCCACCAACCAGAAAACCATCAACATCAGGTTTTGCTGCCAGTTCCTTGCAGTTAGCACCACTGACTGAACCTGTAATAGCAATGCATTTAGAGCACAAAAGGCAAAGTAAAAGGGGAAGGAAAAAAAAATTGAACTTTACTAGACTACTTGTCATTTGATTTGGGTGTTGGCACCCTGCCTATGACAAAATGGTGTCCGGAAGTATTGATCATATATACAATGGTCAACACAAGCGTGCATGTAGAACTGAGAGTCAGAAATTTAGTTTTAGCAGAAATTAGATTAGGCAAAGAGATATCAAAAAAAATCTATGTTTTTTTTAAATGTAGGCGGCCCAAGGAACAAATTCACATCATCATTTCTTCAATACCTGATAATTAGTGACGTTGTTGAGTCTAGATTTCATGGGTTTGAAATGAGGAGGGATTTGGGCACTAATCATTCAAGGATAATAGCTCAAATTTTAGAGCTTAGGGTTTACATATGGATTTCAATATAGAATTTAGGAGCTTTACCATGATGGATTCGTAATAATAATGAAACGGTAGTAATTTGAAATCTTTCATGCTTAAGATTATAATCAAATATTTATCTTCCTACTCTATTCTATCTTCTCATTTAATTCCTCAATCTATCTATAATGACCAACTTCCTTACATTTTTATGAAGTTTTAACTTCAAATCCTTTCATTTGAAATCCAAGTTCAAGATGGCAACAGGAGGTGATTGTTCAAACATTGTCAAGTAGATTTGCAAAAAAAATAATTGAATAGCCCAATGATTTGAATAAGGGTATGGAGTCATATATATATCAATAGATACCTCCATAGATAATCCGGGTTGTAGCAGCAACTTCAGGGCTGGTGTTCGCTTGAAGCCATTTCCTCAATTCAGCATGCACCTGTCAGATAGAGAAATAAACTTAATAGGATAGAAGTTACAAATGGTAAAACTCACCACAACTAGATGTCTAGTTGGAATAAGATAACGGACTTTGTAACATGGTGACTGTTTTGCCATAAAGATGTGTAGACATTTTCGACACAACATGTTATGTTATGTCACCAACTTTCTCCGTGTTGACAGTTGAGGTAAACCTAGATCAAAATCTAATACTACGCCAATTCTATGATATCCAATCTTTCAACTGGTCGGGGTGATGACCAACTTGAATCTTTATGCAATGAATAACTCATAAAGAATATAATAATAAAAGAATGAAGAAAAAAAATTCTTATCTCATCCCACAAGAATCTCACTCACTAATAGCTAAGAATATCCTTTTGGATTCTAAGTGGATAATATAAAGTTGATTTTTATTCTTATTTTTGAAACAGGAAAACATGAATGCCCATGTTAAATCTCCCCAAAAATACCAATTTTATCATTAGAAATACCTTAGATAGAGTTGGAAGCCATTGCTAGAGTTGCCACAAACGATAATCAGTACGGAGATAAGCTACCCGAAGTTCATCAACAGACATGTGAACTGAAGGAGATCGACAACGAGTTATTCGACGTCGTCATGCTGATGAGGTTATTCCGTTACTGATAAGCTCGAAGTATCTATCATTGATCAACAGTGTCTGTCAATAATGCTGATCAATGATTCTCAGGAAGAACGTGGTGGGTCCCGTGTCTGTCAAGTGTCTGTCAAATAATGTAATAATATTCCACTTCAATCACTACTCAGTTGACTACTGAGAAAAGCTGTTGGAATATTAGTTTGTCGTATGTAAGATATTTTCAAAATAGTGTGTTTTACATTATTCAGTCCTGTAATGATAAGATTCTTGATAAGGTTTGCGATAGTGCGACGATGAGGCCCAATGAGCACTCGGCACGTATCCCCTACCTTTATTAAGAATGAAGCTCACAATCGGCAAGAAACCCTTTTGTTCTTTGAAGAACAACCATCAGTTTTTAAGGAAACTCTTGACCAGGCCAGCACTCGCTATGCAGCTTTTCAGCAGCGACAAACGAGTTACATCTATGCCTAGGCCGGTTATGTAGTCTGTAAAGGCTATCCATCTAGACCGTGAAGGTTTGTGGTCCACTGTTTTGTTGAAGAAACTGATTATAGCTTGACAATCAGTTCTCAGGGTTAGCTGCTGTTTATCAAGATAATATATCTTGAAAGATTCCAGAGAATTCATGCACGCATATATTTCAGCATCAATTGTTGATTTGATGGGATTGAACTTCCTACTGGCGTACGCGCAAATCTTTTCAGTGGAACGAGGATCATTCGCAGCTGGCTTCCACTTGCAGATTCCTCCCCATCCTTCCATACATCCATCGGTTTCAAGGATAATGGTGCATTGTAATGGAGGAATTGATAGATTTGGCAGCTTCTGGTTTTTCATACCATTCCTTTATATTCTGTTCCCAAATATTTGTCATAATTTATTATTGATAGAATAAGATTATACATATTAGTCTGGGTGTTCGTTTATTACTGGTCTGAGAAGGAAAATACAAGAAGTCTTATCTAATCAAACTACCAAGGCTAATCCTGAGCCCAACAAAAATGAAGATTGCAGCGATCCAGATGGATTTCTTGGGCTCAACAATTAGGCAAGGGGAAATAAAGTTGCAACCCCACATTGTTACAAAGGTGGCCCAGTTCCCAGATGATACTCTCAAAGAAACTAAGGGCTTACGCTCTTGGTTGGGCCTTCTTAACTATGCAAGAAATTACATTAAGGATTTGGGCCGAATGTTAAGCCCACTCTACTCGAAAGTCAGCCCAAATGGTGAAAAGAGGCTCAATGCTCAAGACTGGGATTTGATCCATAAGATTAAAGCCAAAATCCAGAAGCTGCCAAATCTATCAATTCCTCCATTACAATGCACCATTATCCTTGAAACCGATGGATGTATGGAAGGATGGGGAGGAATCTGCAAGTGGAAGCCAGCTGCGAATGATCCTCGTTCCACTGAAAAGATTTGCGCGTACGCCAGTGGGAAGTTCAATCCCATCAAATCAACAATTGATGCTGAAATATATGCGTGCATGAATTCTCTGGAATCTTTCAAGATATATTATCTTGATAAACAGCAGCTAACCCTGAGAACTGATTGTCAAGCTATAATCAGTTTCTTCAACAAAACAGTGGAACACAAACCTTCACGGTCTAGATGGATAGCCTTTACAGACTACATAACCGGCCTAGGCATAGATGTAACTTTAGAACACATTAATGGTTCTGATAATACTCTAGCTGATGCCCTTTCAAGGCTTGTATATTCACTGTTTTCATTTACAGAATGGCCAACAGAGGTGGTGCCGGAAGATATGGAGGTTCTAGTCGGCCTTCAGCAAATAGAAGAACTTATCCATTACTGCGAAGAGAAGAAAGAATCATCCTCGCTGAAACTGAGCCATCAAGCCGTTGGATTGATCCACAGTTTCATCCCCATGCTGTACAATACCAATCTCTTCTCCAACAGATTGAAGATCGGTTCACCTATGATTCCGGAATCACATTTGCAGAAATGGCAGAAATCCAGGGACAACTCTCCAATGAAGAAGATGACGCCATTGAATAAGCCAGAACAGCTCTACAGCAACTCCTCAAAATCCAGGCATCAGCTAGAGTATTATCAGAACCATTAATGTGTTCTAAAGTTACATCTATGCCTAGGCCGGTTATGTAGTCTGTAAAGGCTATCCATCTACAAAGGTGGCCCAGTATAACCGGCCTAGGCATAGATGTAACTTTATTATCATCATCATCAGCAGTTACTTCTCATTACAATCCTCCACAGGATACAGTAATGGGTCCCCCAGGCTATCCACCGGCAACGGGACAAGGTCCATCTATAAATATCCCGGAAAGACCCTCATATACGGGAAGACGGTCAAATTTCAGGCGAGGAGCTAATGATGAAATGTGGAATTTGCCATCTGCCATGCATCATACAGGAGCCATGTTTGTCATTCCACAGGCTCTTGGAAAATTTGATGACGCCTTTATGAGATGGGAGTCAATCACACGATCCTATGTTGCTTCCCAAGGATTCACTGATGTTCGGGATAAACTCCTGTTTATGGAAAATCTCCTTGGAGAAACAGAGAAGCTAATATGGACGCAATGGCGAATGAGATACACTGATGAATATGCTAATCTTATTGCCATAGGCGATGGGAATGAAGGTACACAGAATATCATTTCTCAAATGAGAACTGTGTTCACCTTGGAAGATCCTTATCAAGGTTCAACTCTAATGCAAGAAGAAGCTTATCGTGACCTTGAACGACTGTCATGTAGAGATGTGAAGGATATCATAAAATTCTTGAATGATTATCTTCATCTTGCTACAAAGTCAGGAAGGTTATTCGTAGGAGAAGAGCTATCTTCTAAGCTATGGTCAAAAATGCCTGGTGATCTTGGAGAAAGGATCAAGAAAGGATTTGACCTAAGCAATTAATATCATGTTTGCACTGAAAACAGAGATGATTAAATTAAAACAGCAACACCCTACTAACCTCCTGAGCTTGGGCAGGGCTTGCAACCTTTCCAGTTCCAATGGCCCAAACAGGCTCATAAGCCAAAACAACATTTGCCCAATTTGATACTTTTTCTGCACCGTGGGAGAAAAAATTAGAGAATTATCATGGAAGAAATATCATATGAACTCCTTAAAGCATGTTGAAACATGGTTACACCCATTGCTTATAACATAATGCAGTTTTCAGTAATTTTTTAAAACAAATACAAACAAAAATATCACCACGTCAATATGTGGCAAGTACTAATGCACATGATCTTTCAGTCAAATAAATTTAGTAGTAGCAAAAAGATTTCCCAAAGTCTAATAAATCATATAAAACCCCAAAGTGAGTTTAGCGGCTGACTTGGCTTGACTATAAAAGTAATATGAAAATAGCAACAAATGCAAATCCAAGTAGTTTCACAAGCACGAGAATTGTACCCTATTTGGTGTCATGTCATTACATTTTTTGTCAAATAAAATTTTTTGTCCAAATTTAGCAAAAAAATATATTAAAGAAAAATGTTGCACAACATAAAAAATATATATAATGGAAACAATTAAAAAGTAAAGAGAAACACTCTATCAAAAGAAATAAATAGATCAGAAAACAAGGCTGTGTTTGGAAGGGTTTTGGAATCATAGTTCTACCCCTACATTCTAGTATGATGCTTGGTTTGAGTTTTGAAAAATTAATTCCACCTCTCCTTTTGAAAACTCGTTCCAGGTGGACTTTTAAATTTTGAAATTTGGCTTACCCATTGTCTCCCCGGACGTCCGGCCTGTCGGTTGACCGACCGGTCAACCTGAATAGTGCGATTTTTTTTTTTTTTTTTTTTTTTGCAATTGGCACTTGTTTTTTTAAAAATATTTTTTATAAATTAATATTTTTGAAATTGTTTAAATTTTTATGAACTTTTAATAAATTTTTGAGTTGTGTGTTTGGCTATGAGTTATGAGTTTTTATATATATCATATGTCACATCAAAAATTCCCTACTCAATTCAAAACTCTTTTCAAAACTCATTCACCAAATAAATTTTCTACACACAAATCATAATTTCAAAATTTACAAACTCAAAATACAACTCTTATTCTCAAATCATATTTAGAAAACTCTACTAAATGCTACCCAAGATTTTCAATGATTCAACCATAGCGTGAACAAGTTGTTCTAGAAATTTTATAGTGAATCCCCCATAGTTCTACTCTACATCAGAGAGAAGTAAAATAATTTAACATTCAGGTCAGCTCCATTTAGAAAACCAGAAACCCATTGACTCAGACTCTAGGAACCTTGTGGCAAATCAAGTAATGAAAGTATTAGCATCAGAAATAAAGAGGAACATTAACCCATGCATGCAAGGCTACAGGTCCGAGCAAAAAGAGTGGTAGGTGCATTCATAAGCTTATTTCACAAGAAAACAAGAGAGGCAACTCATACCCACAAGTAGACAATATACAAAAGTGTTTTTAAAGCCTTGTTTGGCAAGTGATGATTTTAATCAAAAAATCAAAAAGTCACTAAAAAAATCAAAAAGCCAATACCCTATACCAAGAAGTCAAAGATTCCATTTTCTCTCTACTTTTTGCACATCTTTTCGTAAAAAATCAAAAAGTCATCCAAAACATACCAATTTTTTTTAAATCATATTTTAGCCAAAAAACCAAAAAGTTACTAAAAAAAACCTATTCCCAAACGAGGCCTAAGTATGCTACACAAGTTTTTATAAATAGCATTGAAATAAGTACCTGAAATTGCCTTAGTTTGTGCAGCGACAACATCCATGGTACATCCTGATTCTCGCTGCTCAAGAGTCTCTCCAATACAAGCAATTACCTTCAAACCTTGAGAAAGAGCATATGCAACCTTATCTGCAACAAACTGAAATGAAAATGTCCCAAATTATGAACATGTGAAATAATAATCAACAACACAGTTGGCATCATCATAAATGAATAATCATTGCACGATAAATGAAACAAGGATTACCTCATTTGATTCTTTTAACAGAGCCCTCCTCTCAGAATGACCAAGAATGACCCAAGGAATGCCCATGTTGACGAGCATCTCTGCACTGCACATTCAAAAGAATCAATTTAAATTTTTTGCATTGAAGAAATTTGAAGCACATGATAGATGCTCAGCGTTGAATATGAATAAATCCACAAGATAGAAAAGGCCAGTTAAAAGGTAAAGTTGAAGACCTGATACCAAGCACTATTAAATGAAATGAAACATATGACATAACAGCAATCACTAAGACAATAATAATAACTAAAATGCTAGTGTTCCATATTTATCAATAATTGCTGTTTATAACTTTTTTCTACCATTTCTTTTAGCAATTAACAATAACCCAATGTGCAAAGCAGTACAACAAAAGAGCAACCCAATTTTAATACCGTCAGTTAAATCTATCACGCAACAACAAAGGCACCAACATGTTTGTTTGTCCATGCCTTTTTTTTTTTTTTAAAAATTACGTTGTTTAATATGCCTTACATAAAGTAGATTATGATAATATTGTGAACCTCAGTTTCAAATGCAAATATCATTGAAATGTAACAATCTATTTTGGGAAAATGAGGCAACAACATTAGATTAAGAAGTCTTGTGTAAATGGATAGCCGTAGAAAAAGTTATAATAACTCTAAAGAAGACTACTAGGAAATGGGATGCTGAAGTAAATTCATAAAATTAAAATAAGAAATATATGAAACCATTTCTTGATAGAAGGATCATGGTGAGACCAGTGGTGCATGAGGAAATACCTCATCTTTCAATTTGGGACATGATACTCAAATAATACGTGTTGATTCCTTATCCTTAAGCCATAACACAAAGAAACCTCCTACAACTTTGCAAATGACAATTCTAAAGGAACAACTGAATGATTTTAATTAATTCAACTCTTGCCAATGCAATATAGATTATTAAGAGCATGATGAAACATACCTAACCTCACCAGTGAAAGCACCTCCCTTTTTGACCCAACAATTTTGAGCAGCAATGTGAAAATCAGGCCTCAACAAATCTTTCACCAATGGTAGGAACACATACGGAGGGCTCACAACCACCTCTGAGAAGAAGAAAAAAACCGTCAAAACATCAATAATTTGAAGAACCAAAAGACAGCATCAAATACTTCGAATTTGTACTTAAATACCAATCAATTAATTCTTGCCTATGAAAATTAATAGGATAGAAACTATGGAAGCAAAAATAGAAAGTTCTCCGAAATCCTAATTTTAGCTTCTAAACAATCCTAGTTCAAAATGATAGCCAAAGCATAAAATATAAAATAGGATTGCTGCTCCCATGTGAGATTTCCCATATTCTGAGACCAACACAGCATATGACAGAAACATTCTTAAAACTCTAACCCTTAATTTTCTGCAAGATAGTTTAATGAAGTTTTATGTGCAAATCACCGGTGGTGTACTTAATAAAAATAGTAACAGGTGAAAGCATAGAAATTAGAATAGAAACACACCATTTTAGCCGTAAGTTTCATTCTGCATTTACTTACCCACAACATCCTGAGAAGGCACTTCACCAGCGTTAAGGACCGAAACTATCTTCTTCACCTCTTCTGAGGTTCCATTCTACATAACCATTCAATTCAAATCATGAATCAGTTTCATCCTCTAATCATAAATCATAACTCATAAACAAGCAATCAAAAAGTGAATGAGTCATCAAACAATACTGATTATCTCCGTCTCTTTTCTTCTTTCTTTTTTGATAAGTAACTGCCAGTCAATACATTGTGCCACATATTAAATAATTAAACAAAACATAACAAAATTTCCAATCAGCAGAATAAACAGTAATGCTTTTTGTCAACGTTTTCAACATTAATAATCGAAAACCCTTTTCAATTTGAATTCATCTACACCACCAAAACAATCAAGATCTAATTCCCAGGTAAACAACAATACAAAACATTTTAAACATCAAATTTTATTCAATTAAGACTAAAAAACAAAAAATATGAGTGAGATTTGTTTTTCTTCTTTTGTATTTTAATGGACAAATCTCCAGCTTATGAAATATATATATATAACCAATCAATTTGTTTCACACCAAATCTCAAAAAATAAGAGAGTTCTCTCACTCTTCTTCATTTCTAATCATTTCTTACCAAATCACCCAATCCAAACAGACAGTTAGAAACAGGAACAATCAATCACATATATATATATATATATATTCGTAAATTTTGACGAAGAAAACATACTACAAGTGAGATAGTGAGTGTGTATGTACGTCTAATCTGATTCTATACACACAAATGATTGTATTGTATATTAAGATCGGATAATAAGAGATCTAAAAATTAAGCAAAATCCAGATGAGATCCAAGGCTTACGCATTTCCAGTTACCGCCAACGAAGAACTTTCTCCCCATATCTTCGACGATGATAGCAACTCTCTCTCTCTCTCTCTCTCTCTCTCTTTTTAGGTTTGGATTTGCTAATAATGCTATGGCGATAGTAATAATATATATGGGTATAATATATATGGGTATAACGTATTATCTTGGTAGCTGGAACTTGAAATGACTTTGTTACCCTCCTATATCTTCTTTAGATTAGGAATATGCTTTACCAGTAATGAGCGTGCGATCGGAATATTTTGTTTGGAAAAAAGAAGGGTAGTTTGGTAAATATGCATAAAGATTTATAGCTGTGGGTGGGTTTTGCTGCTTTTTCATACAGTGGATTGGGCGTCACATGGAGTGGGTGGTGACGAGTAGATTGGTTTTTTTCTTTCGATGGGAGCGTAGGGTTTGGTGCACGCTTATCCATAACTATCTATCTGGAATATTTATAATATTAGTCCTATTTAGTAGGGTTTATTTTTAATTTATTTTCGTTTTTAGTTTGGTTTAAATTATTTTAATGTATTTTGTTCAGTTTAATAATATAATTTATAATTTTTTGTAAGTCAAAAATAAACTTATTCTTTGAGTGGAGAAGGAAAAACTTAATTTATAAGTCAAAAATCAGCTTATGTTCACAGTTATAAGTTATAAGCTGTTAAGGTATAAGGTATAATCACTGTCCCACAGCTTTACCAAAGGGGGCTATTAAAGGATAGGTTGAGATGTTTTAAATAAGGTCTTATTTATTATAATTTTAAAAAGTCAAAAAATTAAAAAGTTATTATTTAATTTAAGTCATATATTTTATTTAAGTTGTATTATTTTTTTATCACATCACTTTAAATTCAGTCCACGTTTTACTCATATTTCATAAAAAGTTAAAAAGTGCACTTATTTAGATCATCTTAAACAATCCCTAAGTATATTTTTTGATTTTTTTTTTTATAAAAAATGTGTAGAAAAATATAGAAAGTGAATAGAAAAATAGAGATGAGATGTAGATTAATGTGATTCAAATAAGTGTATATATGTAAAAAAATATTTTTTTTTTAGTGCATGCTAAACACCTATGTAGCCTTCGTTTGATATGAGAGTTGATTTTTTAACTTTTTTGGGTTTAAACTTAAAGTTTTATTTATGATGAGTTTTTTTTTTTTGGTAAGAGGATTCAGGAAATAATTATGATTTAAATGTGATATTTTATTTTATTAATTTTATTTTTTTTTGGCTAAAATAGCCAAAGTGACCTATACCAAACATAATAGCTTAAAAGTGTTTTTATTAGGATTTTATACCAAACATAATAGCTTAAAAGTGTTTTTATTAGGATTTTATCAAATATTATTAAAAAAATGTTATTAATTATTAATTTTCAGTAATAATTTAAAAATTTTATCACAAAAAAAAACACTAACTATAAATTTTAGCGATAATTTTAAAAAATACTACAAAAAATTTACTAAATTTTAACTTTCAACGACGATTTAAAAAATCCGTCACAAAAAAAAAGTCACTCATTATAAGTTTTAACGACATATTATAAAAATCGTGATAAAAAAAGTTACTAATTGTCAATTTTTACTAATATATGTAAAAAAATCATCATAAAAAAATATTTTAAGGAACAATTTTACTATGACTTATTTTTAATAGGTTTTGATGAAAATTAAGTTCAACGATTAGGATCTATTGATAATTTACCCTATCTCTATCCAAAAAGAAAAAATAACAAATAACAAATAGTAATCAAAAGAGGGGCACAAAATTTGAACTTAAAACCATTCACTTAAATTATTAAAGAACACTTTTATCACTTAAGCAATATAAAAAAAAATATTATAAATTTAAAATTAAAATTTATATTTTAAACAAGTCTATCGAGTGAGCTGACACTCATAATTTTTCCTATAATTCAATTCAATTCAATAATATATTTATTTAATAAACAATAATTTATTTTTATAATTAAAATGCATTATCATATACAGTAATTTGGTATAGCATTGTAGATAATTTTTTTGTAAAAATTTCTCAATTTTCCTATTCTATATTTCAAACTAAAATTCTCACAATTAGAAAGAGAAATTCTATTCCCACACACCTACCTACCTCTGTGCACACACTTAATGATTTATTTTTTTATTATAGTTTTGTACTAAAATAAAATTACTAAAGTGTCCTTATCTTCTCCATCAAAACCCTAGTTTCTTCATCTCCTCTCATCGTTTGAAGCTTAGAATCCATGGCAGCCACACTGATCTCCATCTACTAACTCACACACCTCTCTCTCTCTCTCCATCATATATATTATGCCTTCTGTTGTTCTCATCATTTATACTATATTACTACTCTGTTCCATACCTGAGCAATCACTCCTTACATTCTTCAATCAACATCATCGTCAAACTTCCAAATCTTCACCTTCGATCTTCAAGAATCGAAGCTTCAATTTCCTGATTTTCGAACTCAAACTCCCAACGCTAATCACCAATCACAACCTCTCACACTCTTACTCTTTCCACATGATCAACCTCTTCTTCGGCCATTGGCTTTGTCGCAATCAAATCCTAAGTGTCCGATTCAAACCCTAGTTTTTGCAATGAACTTCTTGGCCTTGTATAATAGAGTTATAACAGAATTTTTGCAATGTTATACGTAATGAAAATTCTTTTCAAGACCAAAGCAAGGGAGAAGAAACAGCACTTACAAATGGGTGTTGGTTTAGGATTTCAATGTCAAATAGATGGATAATTTTGGCAAAAAGAGTTATGCATTAAGTAAAATCACAAAATTCAAAATTAAAAATTAGTTGGTATGTGTATTGAGAGAGGATATGGAATGAGATGTTTTGGTGTGTGGAAATAGAATTACCCCAATAGAAAAAGAAAGTTTTACTATACATCCCCTTAAAAAAGATATACCACACGCGTCCCTATTTATTTTTTTTTACAAATTTCTTATTTTTCATTTATTTTGTATTTCAACTAAAATTCTCACCATTGGAAAGGGAAATTCTACTATATACACTCTTTGAAAGGAGTGTATCATATAAATATTTGATTATGCCATTTTTTTTTAGTTATGACTTGAGATTTTTGGTTATCTCCCATATAGTTTGGTTATAATTTTTTTTTATATTTTAATTATGACTCAAAAAGTATGAAATTATATAATTTTCTTCTTTACTTCTAAAGTACATATGGTACACACCATCTGAAGGGTGTGTACCATATTCTTTTTCCCATTGAAAATCATGATTCTTAACAAAAGACAAAATATATTAAATTAAGTCAATAAGATAAAATGTCACATTCAAATTATAATTATTTTACTTTTTTTTTCCTTCACAAAACTCACGAAAGCCAAAAAATTTCACCCAAATAAACTTTTTAATTCCAAACTAAAAAAGTCCCAATTCAAAAAAATCAACTTAAAAAACCTAACCAAACGGCAACTAAATGTTACTACAATGTCATTCTGAATGAGTTGTTTGTATGGATTTGTTTCTCCATCATTTATCTTACCAATTGGTGGATAGTATGTTGCATTGTTTTTTTGGGTCAAGAATATTGAGGGGTTGTTTGGGTACCTCCTAAAAAAAGTATATTTATTATCTTTTTATTTTATTTAGGTCACATTTTCTCTTTATTATATTGCATATTTTTTTTTGTAAAAAGCGAAACTACTAAAATAATTTATTCCCAAACAACCCTGAAATGTTTGAAATATTTGTATCATTTTTATATATTGTTTTAATTTTTGTGTACAAATAAATTTTTAAATATTTTTGCAAAAAGTTAGCTGTTATAAAAAAATTTAAAAATTTCAAAAAAAATTGTCAAATAACTTTTAAAAACAAAATTTAACATGGAAAACGACCCTTCCATCTTCGTTGCTCACCCAAAAACCACACATCAATAAATAAAAAAAAAATATTTAGAAAAAAAACAAAGAAAAACATATAAGTGTAAATTACACTTTGGCCCATCTATGTTTGGTTACTTTTTCACTTTGATCCTTAAAATTTGTTTTTATTTTTGTTTTCCATTTTGACCCTTAATGTTTCATATTTTTCCTATTTTACTCTTAAAGTCAATTTATGTTCAAAATTGGACCGGCACATTAACCCTCACGTGATATAAAAATATTTTATTAGATATAACTCATATCTCTGATATAAACTTAAATTCTAATATAATAATATATATTTTTTATGTTATATGACAGCTATTGTGATATTTTTTGTCTAGTTTTAAATAAAAAATAGCTTTAGGAATAAAATGAGAAAAACTTAAAACATGAAAGGCCAAAATAGAAAAAAAAAATAAACATTAAAAACCAAAATAAAAAAGGTGACCAAAAATGAAAGCAGCAAAGCGTAATTTATCCACATAAATAAATAAATAATGAAGTACCCCAAAAATAAAAATAAGCTGTGAGTTGGGTCCTTGTTATAGGCTGATTCAATGGGCCAAAGATTTACTTATTTGGGCTTATTCTGGGCAGGGTTGGCTCGATTGCTAAATGGGCTGACTAGGACTAAACCATGATTCAAAGCCTCATAAATACTGAGCGGGCTCTATGAGCCGTTGGCCCATATCAACCCCGCCCAGACTGTGGGTTATGTTATGGCTAAGGCTAAAACATTCTTCAGTGGGCTGAAAATTTAAAGAGAAGTGTTTGTAGCTTGCTATTCAATCAAAACACATCCTCTGATCATAAGGAATTTTTTAATTTTTAATTTTTAAAAAAAAAAACCTTGTCGTGACATGAGATTTTCTGTTCTCAAATCCCTCTATCTTTTTCTTCAATTACACTCTTAATCATTAAATTATGCCCTAAGATTCACACATCTTGAAATTCTTACATTACTTATGATCTAATGATTTGAAGTGCAGCAAGGAGATGGAAAACAAATGATCCTTGACCCCTTGAAACCAAGACGATAAAAATAAGAATTAAAAAAATGAAAATTATAGAATCGAGATACTCATTCAATTTTTTATACCCTCGTTTTCCGTTTGGAAAATGCTATATACTTTCATAATTAATTTTCCAAAATAATATGATAGTGACTTTCTTAATAAATAAAATGTATTTTGATAGGTTTTAAATTTTAACTCAAGATATGTATATGTTTTCTA